CCACAAAGAAATGAAAGATTAACTCTTATTGAGAAACAACCAATCAGAAGACTGTTTTTCTGCTAACAATAATCTATAATAATGTACATGAAAATCTATAAATATGTGTTGATTTCCTTAATAAACGATCTGTTGACTGGCCCTTGTCTTCTGTTGTTACACTAGTGCAAACATCTACGGTACTCTTTGATTACTCAAATAAGATAACTAGATTACAATTAGACGTATTGCTACAGGCACTTTCCATATTATTGATCATTTTTGAAATAACTGCGTAGGTGGCACAGCGGTTAGGACTCTCGCAGACCATGCACATGGTCCGGGGATCGATCCCCTGCCGACGCCCTCCCGATATCAATGGTTGGCCTGCAAAATTGGGCTACCGACATCACATGCAGAAAATTCCATACTTGTACCAAAAATGCGTTGTGGAATCAAGCTATAATAGAAAAACAAAAAAAGTAATAACACTGCTATGATAGTGAAATGTATACAATGTGTAATAAAGGTTTTCTTTGTATTTCCCAATGAATGAAAAACAAGACGATATAGTTTTTACTGACGTTTCGCTATTTCAGATCACGAAAAATACCCATTGAGTCATGAAGAAAATAAAAGACAGATTCAGCGAAGAAAATTTTCTTTATCGACGAAATCATCTTCACAGGCTGCCGTACAGTCGTATTTATACTTACAAAAATATATGCAGTGGTCTGTTATTGAGTAATGGGTGGAGGGGGTGACATAATTGATATAATTAATCAGAAGTGGCTTTAGAAGTGAAAATTTAAAGTTGTAAATTGCGTGGTATTCAACGGCACAAAGATAGAAGTTTGATAAGGTTAAAATTGCTCTTGAATGAGAATAAAGGTGGTATTTGAGTGTCAGTTTAAAAAGTGTGAAGAGGGTGTGAAAATATACAAAAGGAGCACATGAAACTGATAATAGTGAATTAATTATTAAAGCAAAAGCAGACTAAAAGTAAAATTGAGAATTAATAAAAATTTTTACAGGGAATGACTAGTGAAGAGATTAAGACCAAGGTAGAACAAGAGACTGGACAAACGTTTTCTGTATACAGAGTTCAGGGTTTAATCGACGAATTGCCAGCGCCTCCACCATACACAAAAGCCGAAACCTGACGCCCTTTGTACCATTTGGCTCCACTTTGTAGATGATGTTGAAAGACGACTCTGGTGGAGCTATGTGGCCTGAGTTCACCAAATGCTCGAGAATTGAGCTAGTAATTGTCTTGCATTGTCCCTTTGCTAACCATGCCGGATAATGTTCAGAGATGCGTTTGGAAAGCGTGCGCTTTGTGCGGGTTGCCAATATAACTCCACACGAGCAGGTGAATTTATAAACACACATTGAGGTGGCCAGTCCAAAGCGGCAGTTTATCCTTCACACATCCGTTGATCATTTGTCGGCTGTAGAAATTGATACGTAGCTCAGCCATACAGAAGGCTTTCCTCAATGATCTGCATAAGCGATTCTTCAGGATCTCAGGTGCGGTATCACCTTTAAATTCAACACTCATAAATAGTAGTTTCTGTGGCACCGTCTGGATTCTTTCAGGCTTTTCCCTTAACTTCATGTTTTTCTCGATAAATCTTGGAGGATATCCATTCTCTATGAGAACTTGTCTGAGTCGCTCCAGTTCCCCATCGACTGTATCCCTTGAACATATCCTCCTTATTCTTGAGGATAAGGAATGGATCAGATTTTTCTTTCTTCTTAAAGGGACCCAGCTATGGAAATTTGTGTACTGACCATTCCATGTTGGTTTCCTGTAGATCGAACTTTGAAGAGAACCATCAGATCTCCTCTTTAGAAAAACATCCAAAAAATGGGATTCTGAGTTAATCTCTGATTCCGACGTGAACTTGATGGCATGATGGCAGCTGTTGAACTCTTTAGTTATCAATTCGATGTTGGTATCGTCGTCACATATGATGAAAGTATCATCCATGTGTCTTTGGTACAGATTTAATAAAACAACATCGTTTTGTTTTTCATTCATTGGGAAATATAAAAAAACCCTTTATTATAACGAATATCATATACCCAATGCCCAAATTTTTTCAAACCGTTAAAAGTGAACTTGGTTTGAACATATATAATGTATACAATGTACATTAGCGTTGCCAGTTCCCCCACCTTTCTAACTACACTGCCCTGATCAAAGTCCAAAACATGGAATGTATTGACTCACTCATTTTCAACATAGAACTTTACACAAAAGTACAACGGTTCAAGACGTACATTCTATAAAACAAACAAATTTAGAGAAAAAAGAACTAATAATGAGTAAAAACGTACAAGAGAAAGAATAGTAACATAGATAAACATGAGGGGGGAGGGGGCTTAACAGATTTGCGACATCACAAAGAATGAATATGTCTGCGCCAGCCATTGACAACGATGATTTTGAGCCACATCACCAATTTTCTCTAACCATTGGTTCTTAGCCTAGCCAGGACTCCAACCAAGCAGTCTACACCACCATATGTGGCTGTCTGAAACTAACTCTCAAAGACTTCATGTTATTAGATGGTTGGAAGTTTTGAAACTAGGTTTCGTGCTAGTTGGCACTCCCCAGTCAGCAAGGCGTATCTACAACCTTGAAGAAAGTCATGTCCCTCCCTTCGGTGATTCGAACCCGTGTCACCCAGTAAGTACTGCAGTCAGAGAAGACGTCACCACTGAGCTATTCGGGTTGGCTTTGATTGGACACTAGTAACTAGTGCGATGCGTCTAGTCCTTTCTTTGGTGCAGACTAAATTCTATCAGTCAGGTTTGCAATGGGGCTACTGCTATTCTAGGTAGCTCACCATCACGGTGCATACTGATTTGATATTAGAATGGTGGCTGCACCAAAGACAAGAGGACTAGACACATCACAATAGTTACTAGTATCTAACCAAAGACTTCGTGTAGTGGATCCAGTTTTTGATACGACCACCTCTAACTCTTTTCCAACTCCACCTTATGTCAGGCGTAACATTGCTTGTCAAAGAAGGCGGTGGCTAGGGATGTGGAACACACGTGACTGAACCATCTCAATCAATGTGTAGCTTCATGACCTCAATGACTGACTTTCCTTTCTAAAACACAAAATAATTGAGCAAAGAATATCCTTTTCGATAATTTCCTCTTCTGGCTCTACAATTATATTTGTACATATTCAAATGTTGATTTTTAGGGATTTGATTGATTGGCTACAGGATTTTCCTCATGAGCTGACATTAGTAAGAGAACCCAATAGAGTGCAGCAGGTCGGGTGTGAGGACATAAACTCGCTGAAGACATTGGCTAGCGGTCGCGCTATGTCGTGAATTGGCAGAAGTTAGAATTCATGAGCTGGCCATTGGATCGGGCGGGTCCCAGTGGCTTAATGGTCTACGAGCTAGCTCGCCTTGTAACCAGAAGGTCCTGGGTTCTAACCCCACACGGCGGGTGCGTACCGGTGAAGAATCCCAAACCAGGACGAAACAGCTGTCCAGTACTCCCTGACAGGTTTTCCAATGGTTCTTTAACCAATGTCTGCTCATGATGAAAATCCTACATATACATATGCTTATACACATAGAATATTCTAGAATGGTAGTCAATAACAATATTAACGTTTTTTAAATAATAACGATCTGTTAAGTAAGATCACAGTGGAATTACAGTTCATTGAAGATGCTTAAATTGTAATAATAATAAAGATATAGTGGCAAATAGAATATCAACTAAAATTAGGGAAAATTCAAGATCATTCAAACCTAGATGGCCACAGGGGTAAGGATAATGTCTGAACTAACTTCTTTTGGATACACAAATAAAGCTTGTTAATATGGATCCCCACAGCCTCCGCAATATTTAGTAGTCGAACTCTTAAGGCGAAACTGAGATTCGTCGGTATGCTGTAAATGACCCTGAAAGCATGGTTAACGTCAATCAATCCTGTGTTATGTATCCACAAGATGAGTGAGATAGAATGGCGCTACGAATGAATTTTGTTTGTCCTTTGCTTAACCAACCACTATGCAGGGTGATGTTCGGAAATCCGACGAGAAACACGCCTAATTGTACGGCCTATGCAACTGAATGGCTCCACAGGAGAAATTAAATTGGTAAATACACATGGATGAGGCGAAATTAGGCAGTTTGTTTTTAACTCCCGAACGCAAAAGAGGAGTGGTTTTGAAAACACAGAGTAATTCGAAATTTCCGTTCTTACCTAGAACTCTACGTCTAACTTCAATATCGCTCACTATATTATACCACTTAACACAGGATAACTTTGATTTACGCTAATCTTTCATACAGTCTCATTATGAGTATTAAAGTAATAGTTACATCAAGTCTACGCAAACTATATGAGATTGGGCAACAACACAGTAAGAGTATCCATCACTAATAATACCGGCTTCCTGTGGAGTAATAACTAGACGTAAAACAAATAGAATCCTTACAAACTAATATCTTGAAAATTAATCTCATGCTCGCCAGTGACTGGTGGGCTACAGGATGATGTTGGCTGGAGTTCTAGTGAGAAGTCGTGACCACTGAGGTCTATCCAGTCGGGAGTGAGGATGGAGTCGCGCTAAATGCATCACGAATTGGTAGAACTTAGAATTCATGGACTGGTGGCCACTGAATTGGGTCCCAGTGGCTTAGTGGTCTACAAGCTAGCTGGCCTTGTAACCTGAAGGCCATGGGTTCGAACCCCCTCCCCCCGAGGTGGGTGTATACCGCTGATGAGTCCCAAACTAGGCTGACGAAACAGTCAGCTGTCCAGTACTCCCCCTGTTGATATTCAATGACTCTCTAACTGATATCAAACTGTGATCTAACCTGAAACGAACAGAATCCTTAATAAACTAATCCTTGAAAATCAGAATAGGACGAAGAAGTCAAAACGACTAAAATCAATAATATTATAATTTTAGAAAAAAAAGCAGACGTACAAATCACATGATATTAACTGGATGAAATTAAGGAATGACAAGTTAAATATGCTTATTCTTTTGATATTCTATACGTGAGACTTTATGCTCATCATTGACTAGAGTATACACATAGAGTTGTATCACGGTTTCTTGAATATCCAAAAGAACAAATGACGGTTGTGGATCTCTGTAATAAAAAAGACGAAATTTAAGCGGGGGAGGAGGGAGCAATTAGTATTATAATTAAGCTTATATAATGATAAAGTGGATTAGTTGGTAACACACCAGACAACTGTTTAGACTTATCAGGGAAACAGGTAGGAAAAGGCAAATGATAAGTGAAACAATCTCTGAGAAAAATGGCACCATAATTAGCTCCCAGTATAGACGACTGGAAAGCTGGAAAGAACACTTTGAGGAACAATTCAATTGGCTTACAGCAACGCTCAACTTACCGAACATCCAACACCTACCTGCATGGGATATAGACACAGGTCCTCCGTCCCCCTGACTGAGGTTACTAAAGCTGTCCCTAATCTGAAACGAGGCAAAGCAGCAGGAACTGATGGAATGACTCCAAAGGTATTTAAGAAAGGTGGAGACAGTTTACTCTCTGCGTTAACTAAGGTATTAGAGGATGTCCCGTCGGTGTAAGTCATTGATTATCCCGATATACAAGAAGGGAGACAAGTCTTCCTGTGATAATCACAGAGTGTAAGCGCAATATCGCTTGAAATTAAGTCACGCGTAGATAAAGGCTATCCCGGTCCAGAACAAACAAGAAGCCGGTCACTGTTTCTACGGTACTATTAATAAACAAATCAATAATTATATATACAACAAACCTTAACGGTTTCAAGAGTACAAAGCACAACGCTTAACAGAAAGCAAGGTACCGCTATCAGAGTGGAATAACGTTAAAGCCAAAGGATAGACACGTTAGGCATGGATACTTGAGTTACAACAACGCTAGGCTGATCCGGGACAGGTTGACTTGATTCAAGGATGGGAATTGAATTGATCTTACACAGGGATTAGCTTGACTAATATAGTATCCAAAATCCTAACCTCAATAATCATGCGTAGACTAAGCGGTCCCCGGGAGGAACAAACACGAGAGAACCAGGCAGGCTCCAGACTAAGAAGAGGGTGTATTGATCATATCTTCACCCTTCGACAGATTCTAGAACATAGGCATACTTACCGTCGGCGTGTAACAATCGTTATATTTCTTGACCTAAAGGCGGAATTCGATTCTGTCGACCGAGAGGTACTATAGCGATGTTTGTCTGTGAAGGGAATGTCAAGAAAATACATTGCACTGATCAAGGCATTCTACTTGAACTCATGTAGTCAGCCAGATGAGAGCTTACGGCGAGTTGTCATCTGAACTGGTAACAACTGGTGGTGTAGGTCAGGGATGCCCACTATCCACATTTCTATTCAACCTCATTATGGATGTGCTAATGAACTTAACTCTAACTCACTTCAAAGACTCAGGGATTGACTTGTTACTGGGGAATAATCTTGTTGACTTAGAATATGCAGATGATATAGTCCTTCTATGTGAAGACGCTGACAAAACGCAGAGTCAACCAGATTTGTCCACTCGAAACACTGACAGACTGACTCGCTCGGCAGATAGTAACGCTGGGAAAACGGGAACGTTTAGGCGTGAAAGGCAGCAACCCCACTCACTACTGAAACTTTAAAGCTCAAATTTGAAGTCCTATGTGTTCCACTCAGAACTCAAAGGAAGCATCGGGAAGCATCGTTTCAACTACAGTCGCACGGAACCGATGAGGATATCAAAGCGAGGATCAGGAAAGCAAGGCAAGCAAGCTTTCATTTCCCTCCAGTCTGTGTGGAGGTCAACAGCACTCGGCATGAAAAATAAGATCACGATTTTCAACTCCAATAAGTCAGTGCTACTTTATGGATCAGAGACTTGGCCAGCATGTCACAAAGTGCACTTCGAACAAACTACAGACTTTCATCAACACCTGCCTTCGCTTAATATTACTCAAGATCAAATGGCAATAAAAGATCATCAAAAGGAATCTCTAGGAGCGAACCAACACAGCAGCAACCGATTGTGCGACAAATAAGCAGGAAGCAATGGAGGTGGATTGGCCATACTCTGAGAAAACAACCCATCAAGTGAGTGACATCACACGCCAGGCCAATGCTCGAGTGGAACCCGAATGGGAAGCGCAGAGTCGGTCGTCAGTGCGAGGGTGACATGGAGGAGGTCGTTTGGGTAGGAGGAGGAGATGAAAGCATGTGGGCATACGTGGAGCCAGGTGATGAAAACGTTGACAGAGAACCAAACGCAAGGGGACGTTTGGCTGAAGTGAAGGGGAACAATAATAAATCAATAATATTCAATATTCTAATCAGGAATAGAAAAATATCCTTCATATAACCTAAATGTCACTTACTTCTCAAAAGGACTAGATGCACCGGTTGCAGAACCAGGATTAATATAAAAATGTCCAGCATATTCATAGGCTTCAAACTTGTGAGTATGCCCACTGATCAATATATCAACATCTAATTCCCGTTGAAGCATAGCTAAACTTTTTTGATCACCCCATGGAACAATTTGATGACCATGTATTAATCCTATTTTAAAATTTCCAACACTTAAAACTTTTGTTAACGGAAAATCTAAACCCTTCAGAAATAAATAAATAAATAATATAAATAATCAAACACATTCGATGTGTTACTTCATCAAAATCTCCTTTGACAACGTGTACATCTCCACAGATTAGTTTCAAATAATCGTACATACATTTCGTTGTAAGATTTCCAGTGCATAATATATGCTGTATTTTTCCAGGCGCTAGAAGTGTTTTAAAAGCAGGATGTAAAGAGCGTTTCCGATCAGGAATATGAAAGTCACCGATCACTAAAACCAACTGTACTGATGAACATAAAATTTTAAAAACACTACCATATGGGGTGACGGTAAGGAATAAGGTTTCTAACAGAATATCACTCCAGGCTGAGAAATACAAATATTGTTGTGTGTATAAAACCTATTGACATGGAAGAAAAAGAAAACAAATGCTGAGACATCTCTTCTTAGGTTAAAACAACTTTTTCGATAGAAAAAGAAAGACCAGATATGCAGTATAAAATGATACCATCATTCTATTTCGTGAGTTATCATCTGCAAACTACCTGAAATTACAATGGTTATAGATAATAATAATAATAATAATATTTCATACTTCAATGTTTGAGAAATAATAAAGAAAACATTATAAGATGAACGCATCCGGAATATAGGTATTAAAATTTTTAGTTTAAGTTACCATCAACTTATATACTGTTAAACTATGAAAAAAGAAAAAGAAGGGTGAGAGAAGACAGAAAACATAAAAAGTTAGCTTGTACGTCAATATGTCAACTCAAGAAGGTCAAAATTCATCAAATTGAAAACTTGCTTAGTGAACTGAGCTCACTAGTGTGTATGACTAATCAGTGTAATGAAAGTAATCCGGTTACCAAGGAAGTGAGAGATTGACTACACTCTCTCTCTCTCTCTCTGTCTGTGTGCATAATTTCGGTCTGAGACGTTTGATTGCAATTGCTTCAGCAAACAGTAGTAGGTTCTCTGTCCTTTGTATGTTTAATATTATACAGGGTTTGGAAATCTCGACAAAATGACTCGTTTCTATCAGGTGTGTGGTAATTGCACTTTGTGAGTATCTACTTTAAGGCATAAGCCTCTTGGAATATGCTCTGAAAACCAGATAGAAGCCCTTCTTTCTGTCCTTCCAATGTACTTGCCGCCACAGGTGCACGTGTATTTATAAAAGCAGATGGAGGTAACATCAGCAGGGTACTTATCCAGTTTCAACTGACTTATAGAGCATGTAGTGCTGCATAGTGTCACTAGCTTAGCTGCAAAGAAGTGTTTCTTTATTGCTCCTATCATCCTCTTTTCAATCTTTTATGATAAGGCTTCTGTTTTGTATGGGAGATATCTTATAATGCTTGCTCTATTACCTTCCAAACATTGAAGTATGAAATATTATTATTATTTATAACCATTGTAATTTCAGGTAGTTTGCAGATGATGAGAACCCGTGAAATAGAATGATGGTATCATTTTATACTATAAATCTAGTCTTTCCTTCTCTATCGAAATTTATCAGGAGTAAGTAAGTAAGAACAGATAAGAATGAGTTTAATAAATATTTTTAAATGAATTTGTTGAAAAGTTCTATTAAATCTTGGTAGGCATAAATAACTCATCCTACTTAACGATTATTTATTTATTTAAACACAAAAAGCTTGGTACAATATGGCACCAAGAAGATGCGCCGCCACACAGTAATAACAATAAAACAACATACGACATAAAAAGTAAAAATATGCGTTGAGAAGAGATAAAATACTTCACCTGGGAGGAGAGCAGTCATACCTAACAAGTTCAAATAGCATTCGTCAGTTATTATCGGAGAAGGAAGAAAGAAGGAAATTGCAACACGTTCGCCATTTATCACGATTCTTGGCCATATCCGAACTATTGCAGTGACGCCATAATAGTTAAATGCCACCCAAACAGATTTAAATATAAATTGCCAATTAGGGGGTTTAGGGAAAAGCCAACGTGAGACTTTTGAGGAAAACGCAATGTTTTTTCACCTAAAGACCTAAGAATCGCCTCCAAAGATTCCAAAACACCCAATTTTTTCATTTCAGTTAACAAGTGGTGTTAAAAATGGAGTATATTATTAAACGGGATCACTTCTGTCAAGCAACCGATATTCATCCATTATTCTAACACTAACCGTGCCAATTGTTTTGTTTTAACGGTTTTTATCCACAATAGTTTGAGTGAGATCACAGGATGCAGAAATCTAAATTACTTAAGTGATAAATATTTTAGTAATTACAGTAAGTGATTGCAATCACTTGGTTCCTTGCAATTGCAAGGAACCAAATTAATTTGCAGTAGTAGTGAGAAAAGAGATTTTTACAGTTTTGTATAACAAAAGATACTTCTAAAGTTTAAAAAGAGACAGCATATGCAAAGTAAATTCATGACTTGCTAACGAGATTATAATACTTGAGTATCCTCGTAAGGATCTAGATACCAAAAATAAGGATCATTCTCGCTACAAATAATCTTATATCATGTAGGATAAATGACTATCAGGTTGGTTATCAATTTGGAAGACACTTAAATGTTATGAAACTAATTAATACCTACAGTTACACAGAGAATCAAGACAGCAGCTGACCTTGATGTCCTCTTGATTTTGAGTAACCCCCCATCATGAATCCAATGTCGTTTTTACGAGCTAGTATAAACCAATTTGTTTTCTTCGTGCTCGTTTCTTGATTGTAAGGTATAAGTTCCTGATCTTCGGTAAAATTCTGCGTAGCTCGTCCCGCCACTCGACTATCGTAGCTTTGGTTGACTCCAAAGGGAGTAGTGCTGGGATTAATTATGTGTGGTTTGTAGTATGAGGTGTGTTAAGACTGTTACTATTGTGAACGGAGTCGATCCTTCCGCCAGTTAGTCCTACGGTATCGTCAAAAAGCGATGGTAATAATAATGGATATAATTAGTGAAGTTATTCAGACTAACAGAAAAAGAAATAAGATACGTAACAACAGTCAGCTGATTAAATTTGAAGAATAATATGAATAATATATATCGGTAATAATGATGATAATAATAATAAGTGTAGTTAAAGTTGTTAGGAGAGTAAGACAGGAGAGAATGTAAAGAAGTAAAACGACAAGTTTAATTGTCTACCCCTGAATGGTGTATGCCGTTTTGAGGAGATAGCCCATTTGGATGCAGTCCTTGTATCGCTCCATGGTTGTCCAGCCTTCTCTTAAAGGCACCCAAAGACGGTACCATAGCTACATCTGCCGGTAGGGAATTTCAGGGACGACAAACACGTAGTGAAAAGAAGTGGGAGCGCACCCGGGTCCTTGTCCTCTGGTGAGCTATCCTTCTGGGATTTCCACGAGGGAGCAGATTCAGATTCGGTAATTGAGGATTGAAGGCTTAAAGCCTATGTTGATCCTTTCCTAGTAAATTTCTATGCTTCTCTAAACCCTTCTTGAAAGAGCGCTGACCTCACTTCTTTCGGGAGTCGGTTCGAGGAGTTGATAACTCAGTGTGAGAATCAGTACTCCACAACACTATAGTTTCTTCCTGACTCTTCAACTCCCCTACAATGTCTAATAGGAAATTCCAGCCTGGTAGGAAGAGAAAAGGAAGATAGACCAGGTCGGTGGTCATTATTTAAACTTTGAAAATTGTAACAAGATCTGTCTGCTTGCGGTGTGATAGACGGAAAATATCTAAACTGTTTAATCATTCCTTTGTTTGATAACTTAGTCACGACAATTGTCGTAAATGTTGTCTTCATTTGAATCCTTTTTAGAATATGTGAATCCACTCTAAGACAAGGACTATCTGTCTGAGTACAGGTTTCTAGTCTTGACCTAAACAGAGACGTACATAATGAGGTGAACATATCTCTGGTGTATCTAGTAAATGCTCTGCGAATTGCCCACAAAAGTCTTAAAATAAGTAATTCCGCCGCGCGACAGGCTGCTGTAGTTGTAAATTCGTGACCTACTATGACCCCTAGATCCAAATGAGTATGAAGTGATGAGAGTGTTATTTCCTCCAGTTCGTGAGAGGTGATGCTTGCGTGTCCATTGTGCACGGTTTGGGATTCCGCTACGTTAATAGAGAGTATCTATTCTTTCTACCACTGATTTGTTGAGCTCTGCTTGTAGTGTGAGTGTATCATCGATGTCGTTCAGCTGTTTCCAATATTTCAAGATATCTGCATATAGAACCACAGATAACTCATTAATATACAAAATAAATAAGAGTGGCCCGAGCACAGTGCCTTCTGATACTGTACTACGCACTGTTGTTCAGAAGGAGGGTTTTGAATGCATCCTGACTCTCAGTCTTCTACTTATGAGGAATTCCCTAATCCAGTTAAGTAAGCCGCATTTGATTCCAAGATATTCTAACTTTGTGGGCAGTCTTTTATGAGGGTTTTTGCTGAAGGCCTTACTGAAGTCTATAAAGATGACATATACAGGTCTTCGGTTTTTCCTGATTTGACCCAGCTTTATCTTGCCGTAGAAATGTTTGACGCTCATATTGCACGCGAGTGAGAAATTTCTAGTACCTAGGATGTCGCTTCTAAAGTCAAATGGAAATCAAAATGCATGAAATCATGTTTATAACATTTGCAGTTCCTTGTTCTGTCAATGTTTAGTTAAAAAATTTGTTTTCGCATTCTAGGGATCCCATTTTGTTTTCAGATTACAGCTTTCATCATTTTGTACAATGAAGCATTTTTGTTCCATAGACAATCAACTTTTGACAAAGTCATTCTGGTGGGTCACTGTGACACTTGTCGAAGGAACACAGTATGCAGTGCGTTAGCTGCGATAGGAAACTTCACAAGATATCAACCGGAATGCTTAATATGAAATCCAAGAATTGCTGAAAGTCTGTAGCCCACTGGCTGCGAGGCGGCTGTTGCAATAGAAAGGCACACCCTGTAAAGGGGATAAATGCAATGCTTTTCTCTTGGCGGAGATCTTTCTTCTCAGGGGGCAATAACCACTGCTTGTACGTCGGCAATGCCATTAGAGACACTGATAAATCTAAGAGTGGTCTTGGTGAGGCACCATTAGAAGACTCTAGATCCAATACACCTGATGTTTTCTGAAAGAACAAGCCTGTTAAAGGTCTCTAACCTACGGTATAATTCGTCGGACCACCTGCAGAAGCCAGCGATTCTAAAAATTCAACCTGGTCCAAGTGGATAGTAAGCAGTTATCATCAAGTTGGGTGTAGCGAGGAACTACAAAGAATGATAAGTTATGGTCTCCCAAAAATGTCAAGGCGAAACAGCTGTGCATGGTGTGTCACTCCTGAAAAGAAACGAGAAA